CCGGAGTTGCCTCTGCCGCTCCCTCGCATGGCTCCCAGGGTTTAATCTCTCGGCGACTCTTCTGCCAGCTCCGAGGAAAGTGCAGCCATTGGACAGGTCGGTGCTAGCTGCCGGTTTCGGGGAGGAAGGTGGAGAAGGCTGGAGGAGCGAGGGGGAGGGAAGTGGGAGGTGGGAGGAGGGTGCAGCGGCCGATCTGGCAAATTGCGAGCTGCCTTTCCTCCCCAAAGATTGGAGCCGGAGCGCTGGGGAGCGCGGCCACGGCGGCGTCTCCTCCGCCACCAAACTCCGGGGTTCGGCTGGGCTTGGGGCCACCTCCTCCTTAGCCAGGAGGAACCCTCTCTCAATAGGTTCAGCCAGATTTTTTTCCCTGCCTATTTCTTTGTTCTTCTTCCTTTTTTTAAAAAAACAGCATTTTCTCCCTGACTTTGGATCTAAGAGTGCTGCAGCCAGAGCCTTCCCAGGGCTCAGCTCTTTGGGGCTGCCCATCCCTCCGGCGGCCAGAAAGGACGCGCGCCCGGCGTCGGGCGAAGAAAAGAAGAAAAACTTGTCGGAGGGGTTTCGCCAGTCCACAGTCACCCCCTCCCCGCAAACCCAAACCTCCCGCGGTGGCCAGCCCAAGATCGGGAAAAGTTCCTTCGGATCCGACTGCTCTCCTGCATTTGGAGGAGGCACCCGCGCCGGCTGTGGAACTGGATCTGTTTTGAACCCAGCGGAGCGCATCACGGGGGCTCGGAAGGCACCCGGGTGGCGCTGCGGGTGCGGAAGCCGGAGTTGGCGAGCCCCGGCTGCCGCTGGTGGTCTTTCCTCCCCGCGGTTGCGGTTTGGTGTCTGGGGTGAGCGCTGCGAGTGTGGTGGCAAGTTGCGAAGAGAGACCGGAGGTCCGGAGAGGACTGCGCTCCCCCTGGTCCGCCCTTCCTCTTCCTGGCTCCGGGCTGTGAAAGCCCAGCGAAATTTACAAAGGCCGCCCGGGACCGCGGAGCACCTTCCACGGCGTTAAACTCGGACCTCCCCAGTCCCACTGCGAGCCCAGGGCGCCGGGGGAGGACTGGCGCGTAGGAAGAGGAGGAGGGGGGTCGCGGCGGCGGCATGGCGAGGTTCCCGAGGGCCGACCTGGCTGCTGCAGGAGTTGTGTTACTTTGCCACTTTCTAATGGACCGGTTTCAGTTCGCTGGAGGGGAGCCTCGGAACCAGATCAGTGGTAAGATCTGCTTTTCGAAAGCTTGTTGATTTTGTGTGCAGCTGAAGACCTCTCGGACACCCCCATTCTCAGCCCACCCCCACCTCATCTCTCTGCTCTTAGGAAAGTTATTGCAGTTGCTTTTGGGGTAAACTTGGGCTTCCCAAATGCGGAGAAGAGGGTCGGCTAGCGAAGGATGGAGGGGACTGTGGCTTTCACGAGGGTTCGGGCTTGCTTCACCTGAGCGCCAGGGGGTGGCACTGACTCCCCCAAGTCACTCCGAGAGGACTCTGGTGTGAGAGCCAACCGCCTTCTGTGGCTACCTCGCCCAGGAGCTGGCATCCCTGGGCTGTCTCTTCCCCGGCTCCCCCTCCTTCCCTGCTGCCCCGAGAAACTGAACCAACGCGTGATGGGGGCAGTGGGTGGAGGACTTGATGGCAGCCGGGATTGCAAGGCCCCTGTCAGCTGGAGAAAATTACCAGTGGCTGCACCTTTCTACCTCCAGGCAATCTCCAGTTTAGCTCCCTTTCGCCGTCTGGGGCGCGGCGGGTGCCAGGAGTGGGCCGGGTAGGAGTGGCGGGGCGCCGAGGAGCGTGGGAGGTGGCCAATGTAGGGCGGGCACGCCTCGGGTGACCCACGCCTGGCCCCATTGTCCTCCGCGGGCTGCTTTGCAGACGGGCCCG